GAAAGTGCTACAGGAACAATCAAATAAGATAGATACAGCATTGGAAACAATTCAAAACCTACAGAAAGAGGTCCAAAAAATTAATATTATCAGAAATGGACAATACACTAAAACGGCAAAGGCATAGAACTGAAGAGTTAGAAGCCAGAACTAGTGAGCTAGAAGAGAAATCTCTCACCACTACTAAGACAGAAGAACAAGCACAAAAAAAGATTTTAAAAATCTAAAGAAGGCCTAAGATTCATGTTGGACAACATGAAGAGGAATAACTTAAGAATTATTGGTATTCCAGAACAGGAAGAACCACACAAGTCCACAGAGGAGATGGTTGAAGAGCTTCTGGAAGAAATTTTCCCTAACATCCTGAAAAGCGAAAAGATAAGGATTCAAGAAGTTCAACGAACCCCAGGAAGGATACACCCTAAAAGACAATCACCAAGACATATCATAATCAAACTCTCCAAAATCAAAGAATCCTGAAAGCAGCTAGGGAAAAGAGAAATGTAACATACAAAGGCAAGCAAATCAGAGTAAGCTCGGATCTCTCAGCAGAAATCATACAGGCAAGAAGGCAATGGGGAGACATATATAAAACCCTGAAAGAAAAAAAAAAAAAAGCAAACCAAGATTCCTCTACACAGCCAAGCTGTCAATCAAATACTATGGTGTAATCAAAACATTCCAGGATAAAAAGAAGCTAAGGGATTTTGCCAAAGCTAATTCTGAGATGAAAAACATCCTAAAAGGAGTTCTGTGGACTGAGAACAAAAAAGAACAGAAAACAACCAGAGATTGACATATGTCACAACATCACCCTGAACTCAATCGACAAATGGGAGCTTCGAGAACAGAATAAAATTATGATGACAGAGGATCTTGGAGATTAGTCTATAATCAAAACAATTACAATGTAAAAGAAGGTAAACACAGAGGAGCAGAGATCTAGGTGGTGATAAGGTCAGATAGATTACAGGATAAAATAGATTGTCTTAAATGGAGGGAAAAGTCAATGGAATATAAGGTAACCACAATGGTGGGGTTGGGGTGGGAGGGGGGTTAGTTTGGGTGTTGGGGAAGGCAATACAAGAAGGGGCAGGAGGTAGAAGAAAAAGATAGGCAGTGGAACACTGAGACAGGTTTGCATGGCCTAAGTGGCACAGAGGTAAATAGTGATGCATGCTCAACCTTGGAACAACTGGGCTCTATGATACAGGGATCTAGGCATAATTTGAAGAGGGGAAAGAATACTAAGAATCTTGACTGTCTTATGAATATTGGTTTCCCTTGCCTACTATTGTAAAATAGACACTTGAGTGGGATAGAAAGGAATGTTGGGAAACATGATTACAGAAAATTTGTAAGCCCGTCTTTAGCCTATAATCAATTGGAATACCTAAAAGGGGTTCTAGAACTTGCTCAGTGAAATAGGTCTCTTGCAGAGTCTTTGCAGTATATAGGGCCTCAGGTGGAATCCTGAATCCCATCCAGAACCTTCTGAGGTGGGACATTCTCACTAGCAAGGACAAGCAGACCAGCCAGGAACAGCTAGAGTGACAGAAGATAATATCTTCAAAGAAATATCATCAGGGAAAAACCCAAAACAAAAATGTCAGCATGACTGGCTACCACAAGAATAAGCAAGCTGTTTGCCAGGAAGCCATCAAGGTAAGCAATCAAGATCCTTCAGAACAAACTCCCCTCTCTGACTGAAACTCAAAGGAAACACACAAACAGGCATGTAAGCTTGCTGGCAACCATACTGGTTTACTGGTGAGTAGAAGAGGAGGAAAAGCATCAATGAAGAAATGGGCTGAGTTCAACCACAGTCCATTGACTCCTGTTGACCTGGAGATGAGAGAGAGAAGAGGAAGGGTTGGATGGTCCAAAATGTGGTGAGACCTGGGAACACCTGAGCCCATGGACAAGGACATAGCCATGAAGTACTAAAGCTAAGAGTAAAGCATCTAGCTGATATGAAGTGCGGGGAGATTCACAAGAACACCCAAACTTGCAGACAGTACCCATCTGGCCTAGCCTCAATGGCTTGTTAATCAGAACTCAACTAGAGGAAGATATAAAAAATAAAAAAAATTTTTTTGATAAAGGAAACAAGGGTAAATTGCTACAATTTAATGAACCTGATCTAGAGAGGGAAGGAGTCTTCACATCAAGTATCAATACTATCCCCTCTGTACAGAGGGTAGATAGGGACCGGCAACTTAGACATTGGCTACCTAAAATAGCGGAAGGAGGGATATAAAGGCATGAAGTGACTGCCTTAAAATGTTTCATGATGGAGTTTAGTTTAAGAGTGTGTGGGGGAAGAAAGAGTCCCACTGAATAGTTTTCATCTTGTCTAGATGGGTCTGGTGAATAGAGATGGGGATAAGATTCTTATGATTCAATAATGAATAATTGTTATCATGACTAATTCTAACTGTCACAATTGCAAAGGTAGAAGTTTTGTAATAAAAACAGGGGAGTGGTTAATCTTACAGTCCAGAAACAGAGGGCCGCAGGATCAAGGGAGAAGAACCCAAGCAGAATGTGGGACCTTATCCAGAGAAGCAGCGATGCCAGAGATGGAGGCAGAGATGAGGACATGGTGAGGGGGAGTTGCTGAGGACTCTAGATTCATGGAAAGAGAGGGACTAAGAGCTACTGGCCAGGAGGCAGACTTGCAGAATGTGACCTTTGGAGGTATAAATTATTATGTATGCTTGAGTGGTTTTTTGTTTTTTGTTTTTTTTTAAAGAGCTAACATGAATAGTGAGAAATACTGTTAACAAATGGTACATGGAGGGGATTGTAATCATTGCAATGAAGCAAAATATGATTTATGGAGTGTAAAACAGATAATCTGCCCTGTAAACTTTAACTCAATTCACAATAAAAACTTCACTTCTTTAAATTAAAAAAAAATAGAGAGAGAGAGCAAGAGAAACAATTTACTATTTAACATCTTAGAGATAGAAATCTGAAGCAGAGGTCAGTTTTTGTCCAACCCTGCCTAAGGCAAACCTCATCCACCCCTCGGGCAATGTTCTCAAACCTTGTTACATCAGAATCATCCATATGCTTGAGAAAATACATATTCCTAAAATCACCATAAACCTATTCAGAATCCTCTGAAGGGAGGCTCAGGGATCTAAAGTTTTCACAAGTCCCCATGGGTTATTCTTTTATCCATAGCATTTGAGAACCTTTCATATGTAATCAAGGTCATGCCTTTAATAATACTTGGTCTCATATAATCTATCACTGGACCACTTGGATCCCTTTTGAAGGAAAAAGAAAGTTTCACTTAGCATGCTGTTTTAGAACTTGTAAGCATGTCATGAGCTAATTCTGTCCAATGACACCATAAAATAAAAGTGTATTACTGAATGCTTTCAATTTCTCACAATGATGGCAAGGTGGCATGTCATGGGGCCCTTTTAGCCCCAGACATCACTCCAGAGAATTCCAAACAGATATAGACAAGTGCCATTAGGACCCAGATCTTTGCCTCTGAGGCCCTTTACACATAGGAATAGGATGTCCCAAAGCATCACTTCCCCTCAGTGAAGTGTTGATAAGTCTGGTTATCAGAAAGATATTACTGGAAGTGTGATATGCTGGTCATTTACATTTTCTTGATAGGTTAGTCATGTGAAAGCCGACAAAGAAGGGAAAAGAACAGTTATGTGGTGCAATGTCAACAGACAGCTGTCCCCTGGCTTCTTGATAAATAGGATGACTCGCATTGCTGAGTGGTGTGGTCAGTGCCAGAGGACTGGACCTCTCACATTTCTTCCTGATTCACAGATTCAGTGGGGCTGGCTTGTCAGTCCCTCCCTCTTTGACTTCCCAGACACTGAGTCTGGAATGAGAATTCACCTGCCTCTGAGTTGGCTGCTGAGGGGGCAGGGGTGTTACTTGAGTTCCCAGGTTGGAAGATGATGTCACGCAGCTCAAGCTATATAAGCTGACTGATGTGGAAGAGCTCAACAGGGCCAACTCAAGGGGTTCAATCCACAGGAACCAAACCTACAGACCCACTTCGGGCAAACATGATGATGCTGAAAGTGGAGGAACTGGTATGTAAGACGCAGTATCTTTGCTCAGTGAAAACTGGCTCACTTTGCTTTTATTTGAAAATTGAAACACTAATTCTTTCAGGCACGATGCATAGATATTTTGAAAATGTCATCTATAGAAAATTGTTGGTTGATATGAAGGGAAAGTGAAACTGGAAAAAATAAAAGCTGCCAGTAATGAGTTAGCTGTATATTTCCATTTTTATCTTCTCCTTTGGCTTCATTGCTAAAATGTGGAATTACATGTAATTATCAAAATGCCTTAGGGAAGATGTTCTATTTCAAGAACATATACCCAGAAACCTTATAACTCAAGGCTAAGAGTCATCAAAAGTACCTAAAATGGAATAATTTTAAATAATTAGAGGGGGTTGTAATCCTCATAAGAGAGATGTGATTAAGCAAATTGAAAGTATATTTAAACATGTCAACCTAATGCAAGCTTTCATTTAACAATGGACTAGGACAAGCACCTGAAGGCAGTCTGGAATACCTGTAACTACTAGGTGCAGTCTGAGATCTGACAGTGTGCCCCCACTGAGGCACCTCATTACCAGGTGGACTAAAGGCTTCCTTCCCGCAGCATCTTTTGTGGAGAGAGACCCCTGCCAGGCCCCTGTGTTCTGACCCTGCCATCTTCTTCTTCTGTAGGTTACTGGGAAGAAGAATGGCAATGGAGAGACAGGGGAGTTCCTACCTGAGGATTTCAGAGATGGAGAGTATGAAGCTGCTGTGACTTCAGAGAAGCAAGATGACCTGAAACCACTTCCAGGTCACCCTGTGACCCTGGGGGAACAACAATGGCAAAGTGAGAAACAGAGAGAGGCAGAGGTAAGAAGCTTCTCCAGGACTCCACTTGTGGGAGGGTGGGGCTGGGGGCATGGGTGGTGGGGTGGTGCTGAGTTAGCAGGGAGGAAGGAGGGAAGAAAGAAACAAAATGAGTCTATTTCAAAGATTTTTCTTTACCAAATTTGAACCGATAGATGCAATTTATATGGGGCAGGTTGTGGAAAATGATTCTTTAACAAGACTGTCACCTCTGGATCCTGAATCAATGAGTTACTGAGCAGTGGCCATATCCGGACCGAAAGATGGGCTTGGATAGAAAAAGTGTCTCGTGAACTACTTGCGGTCTAGTTAATTCCAACTCTGAGAGACTCTTTTTCCTCAATGACATGATTTACAATCCATGGATTATTGTTGTGATTATGTTTATTATCTGGGCTGACACAATCTGTGTTGCTGTGTTGAATATTTATTATTTATCAATCACAGATAGAATATGCATTAGTTAATTATAGTTCTGTTGTTGTTGTTGTTAAGTGCCATCGAGTCGGGTCCGACCCATAGTTCTAGGACAGTTTATTTTGCAGGTCCTGCTTAGTACACACTTGAAAGAGATACATACTAATATTCCAGCTTTAAACTTATTAGTGAATTATCTTGGGTTAAAAAAAAAAAAAAGAAAGAAAAACACTTTGATTTTTGAGGATTTGAGAGAGGCAAAAAAATTCAGCAGAAATTGGGGGCTTATTTATGCTAATAACTGCAAAATAAACACTTAAAGAGATTAGATTGTGGCTTCAGTTAGTCAAGGGCTGATTTGAATATGAAGGAATAAACTGAAAAGTTAGGCATCTTAGTATGAAACACTAAATTGAAATCAAAGATCTATTTTAAATTATTTCTTTTTTGCTTGAACTGCTCAAATACTTTAATTTAGACCCTTAAGAATTTTAGACACAACCAGAGTGCTTGTCAGTAGAACCCACCCTATATTGAAAGGTGAATTTCTATTTTAGCTCAAGAAGAAGAAACTAGAACAAAGATCAAAACTTGAAAACTTAGAAGACCTTGAGACAATCATACAGCTCAAGAAAAGAAAAAAGTACCGGAAAACCAAAGTTCCAGTTGTGAAGGAATTTGAACCTGAAATCATTGTAAGACCTGTTTGGATTTGTAGTATTACATGTCTGGGAGTGTGCTACCTATAAACACATTGCTGTCAAGTCAGTGCCAATTCAAAATGACCCTATAGAATGGAGTAGAGTTGTTTCATAGGATTTCCAAAGCTGTAATCTTTGGAAGAGCAGACTGGCACTTATTGAAAACACCAAGCTTTCCGTTAACCACCAGCCGCTTATCCACTACCGTGGCTGCTAAGAGGTTACGCTTGATGTTGTTGTTAAGTGCCATTGAGTTGGTTCCGACCCACAGCGACCCTGCATAGGGTTTCCGAGGCTGTAAATCTTCACGGGAGCAGAAAGCCTCATCTGTGGGGTATAAATATCTGTGGAGGCTTTTGTTTGAATGTTAGAAAGATTACAGTGATACTCATACAATGGTTTTGGCTTCAGACAGAACCTGTGGACGTACCTAGGTTTCTGAAGGCTGCCCTGGAGAACAAACTGCCAGTAGTAGAAAAATTCCTGTCAGACAAGAACAATCCAGATGTCTGTGATGAGGTGAGGCTTATACAAAGTACTACAAAATCCAGCTCATTAATTTTGTGTTTATTATACTTCACTACAGCCTTGATACTATGGTGCCAAAATTATTCTACCTGAAACAGTTTTCCCAGCTGTTAGCACATATGCCAAGGAGCACATTAGGAGAGCAAAGTGGTTCCCCAATCCCATCACGAAAAAAAAAAAAGAATTAGTGCTATGGATTTCATTGTTTTCTATACTGCTGCACATTCTGGCTGATTTGTCAGTTTGCCTTTTAATAAGGTGGGACTAACTAGTCACCTTGGGAGAAACATGCCTTAGCATCATGTTTGCTCAGACCCAGACACATTAGTGCTAGACTAAGAATATGGAGCCTCCAGTCTCCCAGCTATAGCACTACAGGACTATTTGATGTTTGGCAGCCAATTTACATTCTCTGGGCCTCAGTTTCCTTATCTGGAAACAGAGCCGGTTGGAACGGAATAATGCTTGAAGTTGTTTCTGCTCTGTTGATGTTGTTATGTATCATTTAGTTGATTTCCGCCCACCTTGACCCTATGTGACCAAGTAGAATCGACCCCTACTGTTTCTTAGGCTACAATCTTTATAGGAACAGACTGCCAGGTCCTTCTCCTATAGGGTCTCTGGGTGGCTTCCAACCACCAACCTTTGGGTTAGGACTCAGGGCTCTTGTTACAGTTCTAATAGTCTATTATTAATTCATTCTTTTGACTTTATCAGAAAAAGTGAAGCCAGTTTTGCATTCTTTCCTCCCCAAACTGAAATGGGGGATCATTTCTAAAATTGGATTATAGAAATGAGTTGTTCTTTTATATAATTAATTGAATCCTTTTTTTATATTCAACCTAGCTACAATCCCAGATAGAATAAAACTGTCTGATCTGTATGACAGATACTACACACATAATGTTTTTATTGTTAAATCAGTCCCAACTCCTAGAGACCCTGTATGGGGTTTTCAAGGAGCAGCTGGTGGGTTTGAACTTCCAACCTTACAGCTATCAGTCCACTGCTTATCCTACAGCATCATGCCAGGACTCCACACAGAATGGAGATGCAAAATTCAAAAAAGAGAAATTTCAGCATTTAGGCAGCTTTGAACCTTTCTCCACACCCCTCAGTGTAGACTAGACCTCCATGCACTTAGAAACACACATTGCAGGAATCTCAAATCTCAGTTGGATGAGAAATGTTCTAATTGTTCTGAAATGCTAGTAAATTTGACATTGCTAATTCATAAATACATGCTTGATTTTCTATCATTTGGTCATCATAGTCCCCAGGGTCACGCCTGTTAGTTGTAAAGGAAAGGAATTATGCGCATTTTAAAATGCATTGCGATCTCTTTTTTCCATCTCTATCCTGACAGTACAAACGGACAGCTCTTCATAGAGCATGCATGGAGGGGCATTTGGCAATTGTGGAGAAGTTAATGGAAGCTGGAGCCCAGATCGAATTCCGTGATATGGTAAATATATTTCTTTGCTTGGAAATGAGCCAAAATAAGTCAACTATATGAAGCTTGAGAAAACCTACAATGAAAAACCAGGCTGATGGGATTGAAAATTGATCTGAAAGAACAGGGTAAAACCTCATTTCTCTGTAGAAAGGAAAGTTGGGAGATGGGACTAGGTCATGTGAAAGTATTTTCCATACATACTTAAAAGGAGAGGAGTGTTCCAGGGAAAGGAAGGAAGCTGAGCAGAATTCAATATCCTCATCAGAGAGTTGGGCCATTATCAAGTCAGTAGCATGACTGAGAAGTAAAACAGTCGGTGCTTGGCTTACAACGCACGCCTGTTCTTCTACTATACCCTGAAGCCTGCTTATGGCCCCTTGGCTGTTAGCAAAGGGATCCGAATTCTCCAGCTACACACTCCATATGATAGCTGCCGACTGCCATCAGTGAGACTGGGGAGAGTGTATACTAACTGAATTCCATCTATGGAAACTAACTGCTCTTCCAACCTCAGTAATTCAGACACTGTGATTGCTACAAAGATCAGTATACAACATACTTTACGAACTGAAGCTTGGGCTTTGAAGAAACTTCATTTATTTAAATGAAGTCCAATTGACTTCACAGCAAAGTAGAAAAGGGAGATCAAAAATTTGCAAAAGACTTGGTCACAATGGAAGTCAAAAAGACAAACATATTTTTTTCAGTAGAAGAAAAATAAAGAAATTTAAAAAAAAAATGCTTTCCTGTAAAACCCATTGTCAACTTGATTCTGATTTGTAGCAATCCTAAAGGACAAAGTCCTGGTGTGGGGCTGTAGGATAAGCACTGGGCTGCTAACCTCAATGTCAGCAGTTCAAAACTACCAGATACAACTCAGAAAACCTGAACAGGGTTGCTTCAAATCAGAAGCCACACAACAGAGGACAGAATAGAGGTGCCCCATGAAGTTTCTAAGGCTGTAATTTTTATGGAAGCAGAATGTCATCGATTTCTCCTGTGCACAGGCTCGTGTGTTTGAATCACCAACCTTTTGGTTATCAGCCATGCTCTTACTACTGTATCACACGAAAAACCCTAGGTGTGGCATTTGGAAGACAAGGGCAGAGTGAACAGAGCTGTGAGAGTGGAGCCCTGGGTGAACAAGTGCAGTGTGAAGCAACCACAGTAATAGCCAGAGGCTGTGTGCAAATGTAAATAATAGCAGGGAACCAACATGAGATGTGGAGAAAGGGCTACAGGGGCCCGGGATATGTGTCAGAGCCAGCTGGGAATCTTTGGGAAGGGACTGCTTTCATTCTGAGAGGTCCTGGCAGTGTAGTGGATGAGCAGATTGGCTGTCTTCGAAACCTTATACAAGGTCGCTATGAGTCGGAACCCAATTGATGGCACACAACCACCACGACCTCCGCCCCTTTCATTCTGGGGATCCTGGTGTGGCGCTGTAGGATAGACACTTGGCTGCTAACCGCAAGGTCTGTGGTTCAAACCCACTAGCCACTCCTCAGAAATTCTATGCAGGGTCACTCTGAGTTGAAACTCATTCCAGGTCACTTAACCATGACAACAATTTTCATTCTGCCTGATTTTTAAGAATATATCCGTCTACAATTTTTGTGTATACTTAGCAAAACTGGTTGAAAGTTCTGGGCAGATGTGGATTTGAATGTCTCTTTGACCACTTAGTGGCTGTGTGTTCTTGAAATTTTTTGGAGCCTTGTTTTTCTCATCTGAAAAATGAGCATAGTAATACCTAACTCATAATGCTGCTCGGGGACAGATGCATCAAGAGTGCGTGACAAGATGGTGGGACTTAGAAAGTCTCAGTATGTGGTAGCTCTTAGAGTTCTTTTCAATTACTAGATTTCTGAAGAGCCTTCTAATGCTATACATACACATGTGCACAGATACACACAGGAGTACATATACTCACATAATATAGTGTAGGTAAAACATGTGGCAAGTATTTCCAACTACACGTTAGAATCAGCAATCTAGATGAGGGCAACCCAGTGTTACTAAAAAGTCCTAGCAAGTCTCAACACCTCGGGGTCTTAGAGACCAAGTAGTCACTCTCTTGACCTGGTTCTTACTGACCTTGTCATGTTCTTTTACTTCTTGGTATAGCTTGAATCCACAGCCCTCCACTGGGCAAGCCGTGGAGGAAACCTGGATGTCTTGAAATTACTGCTGAACAAAGGAGCAAAAATCAGTTCCCGAGACAAGGTATTTCTCCTCCTCCTTGTCCTCGTCTGCCTTCCTATCTGCCACCCAGACTCATCACTGTAGCCAAAGCCCGAGCCTTGCCCAGGTGCCCCATTGGCCATTTCTCCTTCCCTGACATGCCTTGGGGTCCTGACCACCTCCATACTGGCTCCTAACCAACCAGTATTATTTGCAATCTTTCAGTTGCTCAGCACAGCATTGCATGTGGCTGTGAGGACGGGCCACTACGAGTGTGCAGAGCATCTCATCGCCTGTGAAGCGGACCTCAATGCCAAAGACCGAGTGAGTAGCCTTGCTCACTATCAGGAATCATTCTCCAACCCAGGTTCTCTTGGGGAGCCCACTTTCTGGCTTCAGACCCACCTTGAACTTGTCTTTGTCCTGCTTTTCTAGGAAGGAGATACCCCTTTGCATGACGCTGTGAGGCTGAATCGGTATAAGATGATCAGACTTCTGATTACGTATGGTGCAGACCTCAACATCAAGAACTGTGTAAGTCTAGAGTCAGGGGCACTATCTTTGGGCTAATTTTCAGAAGCATTTCTTAAGTACTTGAAAATATTCCCACAATGATAGTATTTGAAGGGGGATGGAATCTTTTGCTGGTTTAAATGTCCTTATCGATTTCCACAAGGGCACTGTCAACCTTGATAAAACTCAGGTCATTGGGTCAGAGATGGAGGAAGATATGTGGCCGCTATAAACCCAGTGGGAGGCCCTGGTGATACAAATGCTTAACCCTCATAGCTGTTAACCAAAAGGTTGGTGGTTTGAGTCTACCCAGAGCCATCTTGGAAGAAAGACCTAGCAATTCTTTTTTTTAAGAAAAATCAGTCATTGAAAACCCTTATCAAGCACAGTTCTACTCTGACATCCATGAGGTCCCCATGGGGTCACCAGAGTAGAACTGCCCCATAATGTCTCCTAGGCTATAATCTTTATAAGATTTGCTGTTGTGGTTAAGTGCCATCAAGCCCAATCCAACTGACAGAAACTCTGTATAGATAGGGTTTCTGAAGAGCGGCTGGTGAGTTTGAACTGCCGACCCTGTGGTTCCAACTAACCTTGTAGTCCAGTGCTTACATTATAGCCCAGTGCTTATCCACATAGTTTTTCCCACAGAGTAGCTGGTGGGTTTGGACTATTAACCTGATTAGTAGTTCAGCAGGGCTCTTTAGTGTACAATATTGTATAATATTGCAACTCTTTTTAAATTTTGATCCTGAAAATAAAAGACAGTCAAAACTATTCACAGTCATACACACTTGCCTAAGAAGCCAAGCCAGCCAGGCCATGGAAGACCTGGGCAGTCAGCAATTACTATCTATCAAGCAGGAAATCTGAAGGCACTTTGCTTGCTAAGGACTCCAGCCAGGCAGAGTTTAGTTCCATCGTGTGCCTAGGTTTAAGGGTTCAGATGACCAAACTCATGGAGTCAGAAGCAAAGCATTTAAAAGTAGGTTTGGGGCCACGTCCTCCAGCCAGCACAAGAAGAACAGATACTCCCTCACAGGAGGTTTCCAGCCCTGGTAGCCTGTTGTGATGTCATACCTGAGAGCCCCAGAGAAGCTTTCCCTAGCCCAGCCCATCACGCCTATGTGAGGCATAGCTGCCATCAGTCATGGATGTGGGAGGAGATTTCTTTGTTCTCTTCACCCTATTAAAAGTCACCACATGGAGGGAAACCAATATATGTGGTTTCATTATATTGCTCATTTCCCTCACCCCGGTGATCTATGTTTGTTTTGTCTTGTCTTTTTTCCTATTTAAAACTTAAAAAAGAATCTCAGTAATATTTATATATTTGAAGATGGGATCTTTTCCCCCCTATAACAGAGTGTAGACACCCACCTTCTAATATTCATCATGGTTTAGTGCAGCCAAGGGTCAATGAGATCCAATAAATCAACATTCAACTTAAGTAATTCAGAATGGTCCTCTCCTCCTTCCACCATCATAAAATACATGAACTTTCTTCCAGGGGAGCCATGCGTTAGCCTATATTTTTTAGATTATTTCCATTTTTCACTTTATCTGCACATCCTTCACAATAATTTCCTTTTCTCAGGTCCTGAAAATGCTGTGTAAGTCTCTTCTATAAGTAGTGATTCAATTTCATCTCTAAGCAGAAAATAGGAGTCCGGGTATAGCACTGCAGGTTACGCACTGGGCACCTAACCACAAGGTCAGCAGTTCAAAGCCATCAGCTGCTCCTTGAAAGCCCTATCAGGGTCACTAGGAATCAAAACCAATTTCATGGCACTTAACAACAACAATAAGCAGAGAATATAATCAGCTTTTCCTCATGGTCTCATTTCCCAGCCAAGCAACGTCTAATATAAGCTTAAAAAAATACCACTTAGTGAAAACGGTGCAAATTACTGAAGAAAAATATTGAAAGAAATTTTGGTGAATCACTTTGCTAAGAAAGGGGAAAAAAGAAATCCAATCATTTTATAGAGTGAATAATTTCCTCCTGTTACTTGTGTTATTATGAAACAAAGAAGGATATTTTACCATTTAAAAAAGAATATCTGGCTTGGTGGCAGAAACAAAAAACTAATAGTGATAAATGGAGACTACTTGAGATGGGAAAACCAAGTTCTCTCCTGCTTAATATTGGGACTAGTCTGATCTAATGTTTTTTTTTTAACTATCTGGAAAATAAAAGAGTACATTTAATGAAATCTGCAAAAAATATTGTTTTATGGCAGTGAGACATTACCAGTAGAGACAACTAGCATACAGACTCAGGGAAACTGTATAAGGAGGTAGAAAATCAGGAGGTGAATTTTAATCGAGAGCATTGTATGTAAGGAGTTTATCAGAGAATAGCCCAAAATATACAAATATATTTTATACAAATAGGGCTCTTAAAAAGGGTTCTGGACCTTATTACTTCATTAATCCAATGAATCAATGTTTCCAAAAAAGACCAATAAACTATTGGATACCATCTTGAATGTGAATTGAAAGAATACACAATATATATTTTATCTTTGTCCCAAACTCTGATTTAATGTCTACTGATGAGTTTTTCAAGAAAGACACACTGAGGTGGTTAAATTTGAAAATATAGGTTATGAGCACATAGACTCAAATGCCCGCAGTGGGGGCAAGCAAATTACAGAAAACATTTAAGGAGTACATACTGTCTAACCCTTGTTCAAGAGGGTGGTCTTTATCCAAAGCAGTTCATTGTACTATGTGGAACCACAGGTACCACGTTGAATTTTTTCTCCCCATGTTGTTGTTGTTGTGTTGTTGTTAAATGCCATCGAGTAGGTTCTGACCCATAGCGACCCTATACAGGGTTTCCAAGGAGCAGCCAGTGAGCTTGAACCGCCAACCTTATGGTTCAAACCGGCTTTGCAGTCCAGCACCTTAACCCACAGTGCCACATCAGGACTCTTAAGAGGTCCATAAATCCAATTGAGAAATCTCTTGATTTCTAAATATTTCTAATCAATTCTAACCTTTTAAAAATGTAAATTCTGTTTGGGCCAAGCAAAAATAAGTCTACAGACTGATTTACATCTCAAAGCCTCTGCTTTGCATTTCTAGGTTAAAGAGATGGAAATACTTCAGAATCAATGTTGCTGTTGTTAAGTGCTAACCAATAGGTTCCCACTCAGCAACCCTGTGTAAGGTTTCAGAGGCGCTGACCTATGGTTCACAATTCAGTGTTTATCCTACAGTGCCACACACAGAGGTGAAAAAATTAGGACTTCTTCAGACACATGGATAAAGGATATAAAAATTGGGTCTCAATATATTATTTACTCACATATGTCTTTGACATCAAGTACAAGAAAAATTCATTTCTGGGGAGAGGCCAATGTAAATTCTGAGTTCTGAGAAATCGGTTCCCATGGGTAGTTACGGTACCTTACCAGAACCTGAGGACTAAGCCAACAGACCAAAGCAGCTCACTTGCCATCAGCTTCTATCTATCAAAAAATAATTTTCCAAATTGACAGGGTATCAGTTGGAGTCCTGGTATGGCGCTGTGGGATAAACACTGGACAGTTAACTGCAAAGTCAATGGTTCAAACCCACCAGCTGCTCCTTAAAAATCCTATACAGGGTCGCTCTGAGTCAGAACCAACTTGATGGCAATAACAACAGGTCTCAATTAAGAGGGATACTACCAACTCCCTACACCCGTTCTACAAGATTCTAGAGATACACAGAGGCAGTTTTTGAATTTCAAAATTACTTATGAGGGCGGTGTTTTTACCATCTAGAGTCTAGGGATCAGGAATTAGACCAATACCTGAGGATCACCTAACAGAGAAAAGACATTACTAACCTAAAGTTCCAAAAGCATCTCCTTGAGAAAAGGCTGTTTTGAAAATACAGGCAGTCCCCAGGTTGCTAATGAGATAAATGGCTTTAAATCAAATTTGTAGGTAAATCGAACAGGTGCACACAGTTCTGATTTAGCCTTATGTTAGCAAGAAAAGGCTTAAAGTCTTTTCGGTGATTTAAAAGCTCAAGTACATCAAGTGAAGGTGATTGTAATGAAGAACTGGGTGCAAATAGGGGTTGGCTCAACAGTTTCACGTTGTTGTTGTTGTTGTTGTTGTTGTTATGTGCCGTGGAGTCGGTTCCAACTCATAGTGACCCTGAACAAGGTTTCCGAGGCTATAAATCTTTATGGGAGCAGAAAGCCTCATCTTTCTGTCATGGAACAGCTGGTAGTTTCGAACTGCTGACCTTGTGGTTCGCTTCCCCATTTGCAACCACTACCGTACCAGAGCTCCTTTCAACTGTTTCATAGTAAATGCAAATTTCCATAACAAATAAATTAAGAAAACAAGTAAGTCAAATAAGTCTATAAATTGGATATTTGTAACCTGGGAACTTTTCTGTAAATTGCAAATCACACATAGTGTAAAAAACAAAACAACTTCTATCCCATGAACCTGTTACCTCATTTAACCCACACAGACTTTAGAACGTAAATTTATCGGTTCTTCCCACTTGGAAGTCAAGTTTTCTTGTCTGTTTTCATCAGGCTGGGAAGACCCCAATGGATCTGGTGCTGCACTGGCAGAATGGAACCAAAGCAATATTCGACAACCTCAAGGAAAGTGCCTACAAAACCTCTCGCATAGCTACATTCTAAGGCAAACGATAAACTCTTCCCACCAGTCGCTGTGGAAGGCCTAACAATGAAGAAGCTAAGAGCTGTGAAACCCAACTTTGCTTTATCCACGTGTTGTAAAGCTGTACCTAAGGGAGCTTTGAGATAGCTTGCGGAAATAGGTACTGAAATGTCCAGTGATTTAGTGACACTCACTCTATTTATTTGTATTTATTTTCTTCCTTCCGTGCCACTGATATTTAGACCCTTCAGGGTCACCATTTGGTGATCAAAGCTTAATTTGTATATAACATTTCCTAAGCCTTTCCAGAAAAAAAATTTAAATTAGAATGATGAACAATGTTGTAAGTGCCGACTTAGGTGTCACGCCTCACACATGCAAGGTATTTCAAGGTAGTTTTAAAAAGACTTTTCTTTTTAAAGAAATCACTCTTTTCTCCTGAATTTTTCATGGAAGTTTGAAGGAAGTGTATCGTGGGACAGAAAGCAAAACAGAAGGAAAGGGATCCGTGAAGACAGTAAAGGCAGCCATTTTATCCCTGGGCCTGCTGTGTGTTACCCAGTCACGTAGGATCACCAATGGACTGCAAACCATAAGGTCAGCAGTTCAAACCCACCAGCTGCTCTTCGGAAATCCTATTCAGGGTTGCTATGAGTTAGAACCAATTCCACGGCACAACATGTACTGTATCAAGGTGACGAGAAGGTCTTGAGTGTATGAGTAGGGCAGTGGATGGAGCTGATAACTGGGTCAGACAGAAATGAATGTTCTCAAAAAAGATGAAATTAAATACAAACTGTAAATTTGCCAATGTATATTGTTGTATGTACATTTTATATTCTTAATAAAAACAAACTCCAAACCTCTTTTTCAGTCTTTCTATAAAGTATGGTGTGGGAAAAGACCATGCGATGAAAACTGCTTAGGAGGGGATTTTTCAACCAACTCCTTAGCACATAACCACCGCCACCACAGTTTTCAGATTACAGAAGTCCTGTTGAACAGCACATCTCAAACTTTATGCTGTATACACATTACCTGGTAATCTTGTTTAAAATGGGGATCCTGATTCCGATGAGGTGGGTCCTAAGAATCAATCTGGATTTCTAACAAGCGTCCAGGTGTGAGCTACAATCACACTCTGAGCAGCAAGGCTGTGAGAACCATAGAGGTTCAAAGTTCTCTCAGGCCCAATGTTGTGGGAAAGCGACCCCTGGTGGATGCGGTGATTACTGCAAGCTCATCAAGAACTTAAGATTCCACCGTGGCTTGACTCACAAGAGGTTTAACAATTAATTACTGTGGGCATGGGTTGGCAGTGCCAAAGTGAACACACCTGGTCAATGAATTTTGTACCTTCAATGTTATTTTGATGCACGGTTCTGGGTCAACTGCCTCATACATGTAGTGAGAAAAACTGACCACCCTTGCCCTGGCCTCCTGGAATGTTGCTACAGGCCATCAAGTCAGTTCTGACTTATAGTGACCCTGTATCAAGTTTCCAAGGAGCAGCTGGTGAGTTTGAACTGCCAACCTTGTGGTTGAAACCGACCTTGTGGTCTAGTGCATTATCCCACAGCGCCACACCAGGACTCTGGCCTCTTGGAATAGACAAATATTAAACAAATAACCACAGAAATAAGCAGAGTAACAACCTGTAACAAGTTCGGTGACAGAAAAAGTAGAGTGCTATGAGAGAATGTATAAGGTGTGGAGGCGCATCACTGGAATGGAGAGGGGGAGTGTGAACAAAAACTTCTTTGAGGCCATGATCTTCAGGGTGAGTCTGAAGGATAAGGTAAAGTTATTCAAGCCAAGTATTCAAGGAAGCAGGAAGAGCATGGGAAAAGGCAAGGATATGGGGAAGGTCTGGCACTTGAAAAAATGCAGTGGTCTCTGAAGGCTAATGTGGAACACACAATTACTAGCACCAGCTATTGTTGTTGTTAAGTGCCATTGAGTTGGTTCTAATTCACAGCGACTCTGTATAGGGTTTCCGAGGAGCATCTGGTGGGTTTGAACTTCCAATATTTCGGTTTGCAGTCCAGTGCTTAGTCTACAGTGCCACACCAGGACTCCATACTAGCACCAGCATAAATAAGTAAGCCCACCCATCCCTAATATTCACTCCAGATAGGATCACATACATAACCTCTTAGATATGCCTCTAACATTTGTTAGTTGACCATGAACATGTATGAAGTTATGACGATGGTTTGAAATATTTTTCACTGTATTTGTATATGATTGAAACTATAAATTCTAACTCTACTGAGTTTTCAGTTCCTTAAAGGACCCAGGCACTTTTTCACTCTTTATACACCCTGTGGCCCTCCATGGACGGCTCTTCTTCTAACCTCACCCCATCCCACTGCATATTTCCTTTTCATCCCTCCTTGACTTAGCTGGAAGCCATCCAGAAAGCCACCCAAGAACCCTTAGATTTTGTTAGTTCGCCCCAGGTATGTTCCTGGTGTGCCCCTCCCCTTCCACTGATGCCAGAACATCTATCACACTGCATTCCCCCCTTCCCCCCCCACAAATGTTCTTCTTTCCTGGTACAAGCAATACATATTGATTATAAACATTAAGACAGTATAGACAATAACAATGAAAGCAAATATCACCAAGAATCCTAATTTCAGGGCATTCTTCTTGATTATTTCTGCGTACATAACATAAGAGCTCTGGTAGCGTAGTGGTTATGAATCGGGCTGCTAACCTCAGGGTCAGCAGTTAAACTACCAGCTGCTCCATGGGAGAAAGATGAGGCTTTCTGCTCCCGTAAAGATTTACAGCCTCGGAAACCCTGTACAGAGTCACTGAGTTGGAACCGACTCCACAGCATATAACCACCACCACTACCTAATTGATTATTTCTGTGCATATTACATATACATTTAGCTTTACAACTTTGTTTCAACTAAAGACATCTCTATACTTTTGTTTGAATGAAAAACGAATCATTTAATTAATATTTTTAGACATTTAGGTTGTTTATGTTTACCTGCTACTTCAGGCATCGTTACAATGAATATCCTTATTCATGCACCTTTTGTACCTGACCATTTCTGGAGCTAGTGTGCAGAATGAACTGTGAGGTTAGTCTTAAATTATACTCCCTTTTCTAACGTGTCTGATTACCTTTCACCATGATCTTGACACTGCTGGATTTTATATATCTTTGTACTTTTGATCTTTTTATCCCCCACAACCTAACCAGCAAAAGAAATATTTGTGAGATTTTTCACTAATTACTAAGAAAGTTCAGCATCTTCAAATTTACCGGGAATTTTTAGTTGTCCACCTTCTTTGCCCAACTGTCTGTTTTTCTGGTTCCCTAGAAGTAGTGCTGGCAATGAGGATTTTGTGCAAGTGATTTGTAGAGAGCAAGGGAGTTGGGGAAATAGGACAGGGCAGAAGCGAACAGAGACAAAGATGTGGTTTCAAAAGTTGATTCTCAGCCTGATCCCACAGGAAGTTGTGGAGCTTGAATTGCACCATAGAAGCTAGTAGGTGGGCGGCGAAACCCTGCCCCAGACACTGTCCACAGGCCAACCTGAGGGAGGCAGACATACTCAAGCATCTCTGGGTGAGGCCACTTCTCTCAGCGCAGGTGAGAAGGGTGAAGATCCCCAACATTGAAACAGTTGGGGATGGCTGCAGCGGCCTGATACAGGGAGTGGGTGTGGATCCTAACAGCACTTGGGATGCCACGTTAAAGTGAGATTTTAAACCTCTTGGGAATACGCATTATAAATGCATTTTCCTAGTGTTAGGTACTTCTAACATTTTATAGACAAATTGATCACTTTTTCTGTTTGTTTTGTTTTCATGATTGTTCCTAGAAAGGACTTTCTCAACCCAAGATTATAAAATTCGTATCTATATAAATCTATTTGTCACCTACATTTTTCTCTAGTATTTTGCAAGTTGTTTTTTTTTAATGTCAATTAACCTAAGTTGATTGTTGTAGATATTAGATGTGAAAAGGGGGTGTTTCTTTCCTAAATAATGAAACACTTGATATTTAGTAGGTACATTCTATATGGTAGGAGTCCTGGTGTGGCACTGTGATAAAGCACTGTACAGCAAGGTCGGTTTGAATCACAAGGTTGGTGGTTCAACCTCACCAGCCGCTCCTTGGAAACCTTATACAAAAGCCTTATACAGGGCTGCTGTATATTATTCAATTATACCTCGTGTTCTACTCCTTTATTTGGGGGCTCTTGTACAGATAGAAACTCCCTGGGTCCTGAAATTAGTTTGCACTCCACTATTTAGACTAAAGACTCCTGGAATGATGCTGTAGGACCAGCACTGGACTATGAATCACAAGGTCGCAGTTCAAACCCACCAGCTGCTCAACAGCAGTTAACAACATTTAGGTTATAAAGGTCAGGTGATTTACTTTTGTAAAGATTGCGGCTAAGAAAACCTTTTAGATAACAAGTTAGTACTGATAATGCATAAATGTATATATATTTTTGTTGTTGTTTGTTTGTTTGTTTGTTTGTTTGTTTTTTAAAAAGGTGACTCCATGGCACATAACAACAACTTTTGTTTAACAAGCATGGTGATGCTGCTAAAATGAATAAGAAGTTATTTCCAAGGCTGGTTGAACCAAATGCTTTGATACTTTTAATACTACTCGGTTCCAACTCATAGTGACCGTGTATAGGGTTTCCAAGGAGCAGCTGGTGAGTTTGAACTGCTGACCTTTTGGTTCAAACTGACCTTGCAGTCTAGTACTTTATTCCACAATGCCACACCAGGACTCATTTTAATATATTGTTGTTAAGTGCCATCAAGTCAGTTCTGACTCATACTGACCGTGTATAGGGTTTTCGAGGAATGGCTGGTGAGTTTGAACCACCGACCTTATGGTTGAGTGCTTATCCTCCGGCGCCATACCAGGACTAGGACAATCAATACTAGGTTTTCAGGGGTCTCCAACGAGAGAGGAAATAATTCTTTTTCAAGGCGTCATGAAAGCTGGAAGCAGCCAAGGATGAGGCCCAATGGAACTCATGATTATATATGCCTCACACAACCCCCTTTGGAGTTTCAACAAATTTGATCACAATTCCTTTTAGAAAGAACTTTTGGCTTGATGAGTCCATGAAAGAGACACTTAAATGAACCCAATCAACTCAAGGTCACCTCTTTACCAAGTTTTAATAGTCCTCTAAATAACCACTTCTTGAATAGTAAGATTAAAAAATAGTAAGTCATGTATGCCAAGTTAAAAAAACATGAGTTTTTTGTTTTTAATGAAACAAGAAAAAATTTTAATGGGTTCTTATAGTATTAAGGCATTATTATTCAATTACACCTGCCATGATTTATCACTTACGCAAAGGACAGTTGAAGTAGTCTCTGTTTACCCAGTAAGTATATCTAAATTCATGAAATTGGCAGCCTATTTCTTTTACTGCTTCACCTGGTTTTGTTTGTTATTTTAATGGCTTAAATACAACACTGTTTTTATAGACTATTGATTTCTAACTCCAAATGAAAACAGTAAATCATACAAAGGTTTTATTCGCTTTGTAGCTGATGAACTACAAAAGGGTAGCGGGCGCCCGGCTGGAGACTGACTTGGGGATTCTTTTCAGCCCTCACACTTGGCTTTCTTGCAAGCTGGAAGAGAGTCCTCATCGTCTTCTGATGACCGGGGTTTCTTCACCGTAGAAACAATTCCAAAAGCAGTTTTTCTCGTTTCTATAAAGCAAACAGGGGAGGGACTCAGAGTACTTAATGAACTGCCTTGGGTGTGGATGTCAATTACTTTCAATACCTTGTTAGACAGATGTTGTTGTTGTTGAGTTGGTTCCAACTCACAGCAACCCTGTCTAGGGTTTCCAAGGAGCAGCTGGTGTGTTTGAACTGCCAACCTTGCAGTTCAGACCGCCGTTGAAGTCCAGTGCATTATCCTGCAGCACCACACCTGGACTCCATCATATAGATACCAGAATATTATTAACATCAGAGTCCAGTTCAAACCCACCAGCTGCTCTTCGGAAGCCCTATATACAGGTCACTCTTAGAACCAACTTGAGGCCACTTGACAAGAACAGTACCAACAGTTCCTTAGTAAGGATTACCTCAAGGGTCAAACAGTCAAGTAGGTCATACATGTTGGCACCCCAGAGGCTCATGACAGAAGAATCAAGACAGCAAGTACAACATTAGGGTACTGCTCCCATAGTGGTGTGCTTGCTCACTGTACAACACCAACCATATCTATCGCTCATACTAGATCATCTCTGAAGGAAAAGAAAACCCCACACTGTACTGTGACTGACTTGATCCTGACTGATCAGACGTGTAGAACAGAACAGCTCCTAAGGGTTTCTGAGGCAGGACACCACTAGGGGGCAGACAGCTGCATCTCTCTCCAGAGGAGTGGCTGGTGGGGTTAAACTGCTCATCTTGTGGTTAGCAGTCTAATTCTTAGCCCACTGCTCTTGATGAGTGAATGAATAAATTCAAACTCACACATCACACATTCATCAATTGTACGTATTTGTTGGCAATGGGCAAAAAATTAAATGATGAGTACTTAGGTCAGGTTGGCAACTGAAACTTAGCTCCAACTTCTGGGCCAGACACTGAGTGATGTACAGAGATAAAGAGATGCTTAACAGACAACACTTCCTTCCTCTTACTGTACACAGGATAAGAGCATAAGGGCAAACTGAACAGGAATTAATTCTCTGAATCAAACAAGGAACGTATCATAAGAGGTGACACAAGGAATACAGAAGAAGGAAATAAAGGGTATATATTCCTTTGCAAAGACAGGGAGAGAGAGGTGAGAGGAACCTAGTATTTTTAGGGAGCAATAGGGTTGATGTGAAAAAAAACAGGAAGAATGAGGATGGAAGCATCAGGGTCAAAGTACCATGAAAAGAGATTCAAACGTTGTCCTTAGAAAATGGGCAGGGGCTAGGGAGACAGATTCATTAACCAAGGACACAGACGCAAAATCATTTAAGCAGAAATTGAGTTATTTCTTGTCAAGTAGTAAAAGTAAAGTAAATTCCAAAGCGTTACTACACATTACTTTGCCATTTTTCACAATTCATTGATCAAATATCAAGTATACGGAAGCTCTGTCAGTTATTTTAAAAAGCACTTTAATTTACATGGGGAAAAACCCCGCTCCCAAGGTCACTCAAATGCCAATACAATCCGAGAACAACCAAATAAATGGAAATCGCCAATGATTTTCATTTCAACAAATGAAAAATACTGTATATTTGTTCATATCATGATCATTTTGAGTAATAGTGTGAAACTCAGCTGTACTTTTAAACAAAATGCACTGATTTAAAAATTTTTCCCCTATCAGCAATGTTCTATTATTAATATCACATGAACAATTCTTAACCAAAGCTGATATAAACAACTGAAAGACCAGAACCTTTCCATCTATCAAAACAAGTAAAACTCATTCAGTGTCAGTAAGTCTTTAAAAAATCAGTGTGTTCCATTTCTAGGTATGTATCTGAAAGAACAGAAAACAGCAACTCAGGTAGACTCATGTACCCCAAGGTTCACTGCAGCACAGCAAAGAGCCACAAGGGAGACACAACGCAGAAGAACAGAAAACAGAGTATGTACATCCACACTTGAGTGATACAGAGAAATGAAGGTCCACCACAGATAGGGATAAACCTTGGAAACATTATGCTAAGTGAAAGAAGCCAGACACAAAAGGACAAATACATGCACAGAAATCAAGAATCTGAAGATCCATGGAGATGAAACAATGAGGTTACCAGGTGCTGAGGGGAGGGGAAATAGAGAGTTTCAACAGCAACAACAAAAAAGTGAAACAAAACTATTCAGGAATGCTAGTGAGTTTAAAAAAGCAAGATGCAGAATGCTACAAGGGTAAATGGGGGCCACGGAGGAATACCCATGGAACTATAAGACACTACATTTATATCCCATCACTCTCTCTCTGTTTGTTACACTGAGGTGGCTTGTGTGTTGCTGTGATGCTGGAAGCTATGCCAATAGTATTTTAAATACCAGCAGGGTCACCAAGGTGGACAGGTGTCAGTGGAGCTTCCAGTCTAAGACAGACTAGGAAGGAGAGGCACACTACTTCTGAATGTTGAGCCACTGAAAACCTTAAGAGCAGCAGTGGAGCACTGTCAGATACAGTGCCAGAATATGAAAACTTCACGAATATAGCAGCAGAATGTTGTCAGCCTCGGGTTAGAATGCAATCAAAACACAAGTGGAGAAGAGCTGCCTCTTTGAAGTAGATTTGACTTACATCATGCGAATGGAATAAGGCTGTGGGGACCTTCATTTGCACATGAGGCATAACTCAAAATGAAAAACAGCTGCAAACATTCGTTAATAATCAGAACATGGAATGTATGAAGCTTGAATCTAGGAAAATTGGAGGCCACTCAGCTGGGCCAGGAACTGGGGCCGGCGCGGCTCTTTGCACACATGGGCCACGGGCCCCTCTTTGCGGCGCCCTGGGCTGGCTCCATTTTGTGCGGGAACCAGCCCTGGGGGCCTGGTCTGGCCGGAGGCGCCCCCTGGTCCTCGGCCGACACATGGGGTTCCCCAGCGAGCGGCCCCTGCCCGCCCGCCGCCCTCCGGGGCCTGGCAGTCCGGGCCACTTTGTCTGCCCACTGCTTCTGGGTGGGCGGAGCCCTGGCCACTCGGCGGTCGGTGATGTGCGCTGGGGTCATCCATTGGGCCGCTCTCCACAATGACCGGTCAGCAGCACCAAGTCATGGGCCTCGGGCCATCCGGCCTCCAGCGTGGGGAGGAGGAAGCGAGGTCCCTTGGAGGAAGGAGTGAATTTGGTCTGCACGTAGAGAATGCAGCCAGCTGGCGGCTTGCAGTCCCTGGACTTGCCCGGAAGGTTGAAGTTGGCAAAGATTAGACATCATTTTAGAGAGGTGTCCTTAAGCACTACCGACAACACGGTGCTGATAGTGTTTCATGACAATGGTGGTGGTGATGGTTTTGTGCTGTGGAGTCGGTTCCGACTCATAGCGACCCTTTACAGGGTTTCTGAAGCGGTAAATCTTTACAGGAGCAGAAAGCTTCATCTTTCTACCGCGGAACAGCTGGTAGTTTCCAACTGCTGACTTTTAAGGTTCACAGCCCGATTCGTAACCAGTACGCTCCCAGAGCAATGGATGGTGACAATTCCACAACAGATGCTTCTCAACTAGGAATCTCTGCAGTCTATACTGGAGGAAGCCATTATGTTATCCAGCCTCATGATGATACTGAGGACAGCATGAATGACCATGAAGACACAAATGGTTCAAAAGAAAGCTTCAGAGAACAAGATATATATCTTCCATTGCAAATGTGGCAAGGATAATGAAAAATGCCATACCTCAAACAGGAAAGATTGCAAAAGATGCCAAAGAATGTGTTCAGGAACATGTGCGTGAATTCATCCGAGGCCAGTGAGAGGAGCCATCAAGAGAAGTGGAAAGACAATCAATGGAGAGGATACTCTTTTTGCCATGTCGACTTTGGGCTTTGACAGTTACATAGAACCTCTGAAATTATACCTTCAGAAATTCAGAGAGGCTATAAGGAGCTCTGGTAGCACAGCGGTTACGAATCCAGCTGCTAACCTCAAGGTCTGTAGTTTGGAATGACCAGCCGTTCCTGAGGGAGAAAGATGAAGCTTTCTGCTCCTGTAAAGATTTACAGCCTCGACAATCCTGTACAGGGTTGCTATGAGCCGGAGCCGACTCCACGATACTTAACAACAACAACAATGGAAGGAGAGAAAGGATTTGGCTACAGATGGACTCAGTGAAGAGCTGACAGAGGAGGGAGGCATTCACTAACCAGGTACCAGCTGGCTTAATCACTGCTGATGGTCAACAACAAAATGTTACAGTTTACACTACATCATATCAACAGATATCTGGTGTTCAGCAAATTCAGTTTTCATGAATCTGAAAAAAAAAAAAAAAAGACGTAATGGGAATGTTTCTACGTGAATGAGGCTGTATGATTCCGCAACAGCCATGGGCAGTACTGACTGGGGAAGAGGGTCCCTTGTACATAACGTCACTATAATGTCAGCTTGAGGACTAAGGTGCGCCTGACCCAAGCCATGGTATTTTCAGTAACCTCGTATGCATGCGAAAGCTGGATAGTGAATAAGGAAGACCGAAGAATTGATGCATTTGAGTTACG